TTAGATATGGTCTTAGCCTCGTCAAGCAGCAACTACTTCCTAATCTCTCCAAACAGGAAGCCACTCGAGAGTTGTATGTCTATACTGACAATTCTGCCAACTTCCAACGTGTCAGGAAGGCTCTACGAGATGGCAGTCCTTCACCGGATCTACCAACATGGGAAAAAACGTGTATTGCCTCTATCATTGAGTTGGCCAACGACTTGCACCTTACTCTGCGGTTTATACCGGGACCTCTGAACCCAGCCGACTGCTTATCAAGGGGCTCAAGTGATGCAGTGGACTACAAGTGTTTAAGGACGACTCTCACGGCGATCAAGGAAGGAAGTGTTGATCCCCTCCAGATTCCACTGGCCCTTACGACTATTGGGAATGCATCTCCTCTCTTGTCCCATCTCAAGAACCAATGCTCTGCTACAGAAATCGCCGATGTCTTACAAAGGATACGGCGAGCTCAAGAGAGTGACGACGAGGTAACCCACATCAAGTTAGCCATCAAGCGCAACGACGATCGTCACAAGGACATGTATCATGTTATCAACGACCATTACGGCGATGTATTGGTTAAGAAACATCCAGTTATTGCCGACCATGTCCAAGTCTTTGTACCTCAGAGTTGCAGGAGAAGCCTTGTCGATCGCATCCATACCATCTATGGTCACATTGGGACATCGAAGTTGCCAGGGTTGCTGAGCAGAGACTTTTACTGGCCTGGATTATCGGGAGATGCTCGACGTTATGCAAAAAACTGTGCCACCTGCGTGAAGTTCAAGGGCTCTTGCGTGTTGCGGGCCGGAGGATTGGGTACAGACTGTACCGTACAGTCCCCTCTAAGAGTCCTATACCGATGGAGATGATTGGAGTGGACCTTATAGGTCCCTTTGTTTCTCCTTCTCTGGCCGATGACCCACCCCACAAGTTGAGTACGCGCTGGTCTTGGTCGATTCGGCATCGAAGTTTGTAATCGCAAGACCATTGTTCTGCCATGATGCTGATTCTACTCTGGAGACGCTGGTGGACTGTTTCTTCTCCGTTGGATTCCCATCTTTAATAATAAGTGATCGCGATGGTAGATTCCTATCGAA